ACTGGTCCAACAAGATTGAAGTACAATATTTTGTGTCCACATGACCACAGAATAATGATCTAAACAATTTAATGACAAAAATGAAAAACAAATTGGAATTTGGAAAGTGGGGAACTTTAGTGATAATCAACCTTGTTTGTCTTTATCAGAAACCAACACACTCCACAAGAGTAAGGAAAAAGGACTGTCCAACCTTGGATTGTGCTCCTGTGTTCGAAAGTACACCTGAAAAGAAGTGCAAGCCTGGCAGGAAGCCTAAAAAGACGTTTGATCTAGATGATGATAAAGAGAACAAGAGAGGTAAAGAAACACCAAACAAAGCCAGAACTCCTTCCAAGAAATCTACGAAGGACAGAGTAACGAAAACATCAGCAACAGAGAAAGGGAAAGAAGATGTCTGTGATCGCAGGACTTCTCTTCGGTCCCGATATCGAGTTGCAATCATTGGTGCAGATGAAGGGAAAAAAACTCCAATTAGAATGAAGTTTAACAGGTAAGGTTAAGATATGATGTGTTTTATTGGTACTTACTGCCCATTACGCCCATGTAGGTCAATTTTATGTATTTTTTCTATAGTAGATAAACAGCAGCGATTAAGGTTTGAATAGTGCTTTGAATGCCAGATATTGGCTAAAAACCATATTAAAGTAGTCCAAATAATAATAATTTGGCTATATACATATTTAGTGACTTGTAAATTAAAAACCTGCTGAGGAATTTGACTGATGATTTGTATGTTTAACGCACAGGTACAGTAAGAGTAGCAGCAGTGGGGTAGAAGAAGGCGACAACTTTACTCCCCGCAGTTCCAAACAGACCAAGGTAACACACCCAACAATTTGTAATATATATTCAGATCATATTCATTCGAAGAATAATCCCTAGAAAAAGCGGGAGAAAGGATCATTGTATTGCAGTTCACCTTTTGACACAGCATTAAACTATTTGTTGACCCTAATGACTTCTTATGTGTTGAATTGATGCAGCATATTACAAAGATAGAATCCCTGGTAATTTATTTAGTCCCCCGGCCCCAGGACTATTACTGGAGGGGACTCGTAGGTTTGCACCCATCAGTAACTTCAAATGCAAACAAAATAAGTTTCATTTGAATTGTTTTGCAATTAATATTGTAAGAGTAACATTGGTTAAACCTTTTGAACTTATAATGTGGAGAGATCTTAATTACAGTGTGTATGTTGTTTCCTTGCTATCAATCTCTTTAAATAAATGAAATGCTATCAAACCTTTTTATGATCACTATATGTATAAAAGCTGTAAAAGAATTGGAATATTAGTCCTAATATGACTCGTTGAAGCTACAATATCAGCAGCAGAAATTCTTCTGATTATTTTCTTGTTTTCCATATGGTTATAACCTAAAAAACAAAAAAGTGGGAAAATGTTTTGCATTAGGACAGTAATCAGAAATTTGCTTCACCTGCAATTGTCGTAGTCTGTCAGAATAAAATAGTTTTTGGATATATTTTCTTTTCAAAGAAAAATACCAAGCTGTCTAAAGCAAAGGAACTGCTACAAAAGGCAAAGCAGAAAAATACCAAGAGCACTAAGGTTCAGAAATCAATTAAGCGGACTAAGAAAGGTGCAAAGAATGACGAGGAATCATCTGATGATTCCAAACCCGTTGGAAGGAGAAGGAGCTCTAGACTGTCTGACAAAGATTCTATGGTTATCTTGGACAGCGAAGGTAGTGGGGATGAAGTAGACGGTTTTAATGTTAAAACTCCTAAGGCCAAGAGTAAGACAAAAACGAAAGGAACCAAAGCTACACCAGCAAAAGCTACACCGAACAAAGGGACACCCAGCAAGGGAAGAAAGACACCTTCAAAAAAGTCAGGTCTGTTGATGCATGTCAGGTTCACAAGAATTTCATTTTAATGAAACATAAATTGTTGTTTCAAAAAATTAAAGGCTATACATTGAAGATAATAGGAAGCCATGTTTTGTTTTTAAATAGTCAAATGAAGGAATTTGTTTCAATTTGTATTTTTAGAAATACTAATTTTACTGACAAAATCTGGAACACTCTTTAATATTATTCCCTTGCAACAAAAGTTTGAGGGGATATAGGATTCAGCCTGTTCGTACGTATGTGCCTATGTTACACTCTTTGTCATCACTCTAGCGACTTCATTTCTCAATGGAATTTCATGAACCTTCTTACAAGTGTTTTGCATGTCAATGCCTTGAACAATTCTGCATTTCTGGTTTCTACGTTGAAGGTCAAGGTCACTTACTATTTTTAG